TCCATGCTTTTGTAGCTAAACATCATCTTAACACATACATGTCAGAGCTCTCTTTCATTGCCCTTCTAATACCTTTGAGTCCCCCTTTAAATGTTAATCTTATGCCAGCACTTAAGAGACAAAGTCAACCGCTCTCCTGCCACATCGTAGTAAGCCATACTCTAAATCCAGCACCCCAAATTGCAATCAAAAGGATTTGTTGCTTGGTTTGGGGTGGAAAAACAGATGGAGAAACATCAACATTAATTCAATAAATCTTTCAGCCCCTGATTCTGTTTAGCCTGAAACAGAATTAAAAACATGCCTGGCATCACCTGTGTGGTGGCAACCTTCTGGCCACCTGCACGACCCCAGCTGTGCCCTGCTCATGCTCCAAATAAACACTGGAGGAACCGATCAAGGGGAAACTCAGATCTTTGCACACTTAGTTCTCAGCTTGCAAGGTTCATACAGGAACAGAGGGTTCAGCCTATACATTCTCAAGGGCACAAGCACCCTGTTCCCACACAGCTGCCAACTCCTGGCACTGAAGTCACAGCAGTGTTTTCAGCCCCAGGAAACCAGTGACTTTGGACAGCATCTGCACCACAGACGGCTCTTGCCATCCCAAAGACTGAATTTAATGGAACAAGCTAAAACCAATATTCCGTGAAAAAAGTCCATCTTCAACTACCATCCCAATCTGGCAGGGCACTGGAAGAAGTGCTTGTTTTAAGATCATGCTTAATCTTTGCTGAACATGAACTGGATATTTCTGAAATTACACACTTGCTTAAAGGAACTGTTAAACTGGGGTGCAAAAGAAAAAGACAAGGCAAATCCTCTTACAGCTCTGGCTCAGAGAAGCAGAAAAGTGTATTCAGCTATAAAAGTATAGTCACTGAAAAAGCTTCCTTATTTGAGAGGCACCACAAAGACTACAGCCCAGACTTCACCAATTACTTATGTAAAATCAGAACAATAGCAAGTGATAGTCACAGACTGCAAAACATTCACAAAACCCTTCTGCTACCAGTGAGTTATTCCTCATGTGTGCTAATTAAATCAGTTTAGTTTTGGAAATACAAACTTGTACTGACTAACAGTTTCACAGGCTGAGCCACCTGGACGTTACCAGGCGATCTAAAGGAATAGCAATCCCAGAGCTCTGCAGAAGTGCTTTAGAGCAATAAGTAGAGAAACCAGCAAAACTAAAACTAATATTACAGTAAAAAAGGCTGTTACAAGTCTGAAACTTTTCTTTGCAGGGATTAGAAAGATGGAAGTCGGTTTTTTTTAATGGGCTTTACTTTCACTTCCCTTTTTCAGGGGACGTAAATCGCTCTCAGCTGTGAAGGAACTACAACCACTTGGCTTCACTGGGGAGCGAAAAATGTTACTAGACAGAAATGAAATCAGAAACAAAATCAGCATTTGTATGTTTTACAAGGCAGCACTTCCAACTTCTCTGCAATTCTGCACGCTCGCTGTGTCTTGGAGCCATTTTCCTCGCTGCTGTGCAGAGCACGGCAGAACATGGAGCTGGCAGGGGGATTGTGTTACTACACCAACTGCATTGGAAAACATCAACTCCTGCATGCTGCAGCTGTCCTGCTGCACAGGCCAAGTTACTCACACAATACTCACAGAGTACTACCCGCCTGCTTAATAACTGTGCTGCCTCTTCAGAGCCAACACGGAGCAGCCAGCACTGCCCAGCTCGAACACTGGGCAAACAACAGGCTTCAACCAAGGACCCTTCACTTTGGAACTCGCTCCTACCACGCTCAGAAATTGTTGAAAGTCAGAGAGGGCTATGCAAACTGCCTGGTTTCCAAAGATTTTTCATTCAAGTAATGATAAATTCTTTAAATTATACTTAAAAGTTGTCTTTAAATTTGTATTTAAAAAAAATAAACAACAACAAACTGTTAAGCAAGGTGCTAGCAAGCAAACAAGAACACTCCTAGAAAAAAAGCTTATATACATACTTTTATATATATATAAATACTGTAACTTATGAATCTTTATATATATTTTTCCTCCTGCCTTTCCGCACTATCCTATTCCATTTGCACCACAGGACAATATTTGCTGTGCAGTTTTCATTTCAAAGGTAAAACAAGCACACTCAGGAATGATACACAACCAATGACTGTTTATTGGTGGTGAATATTTATTTTCTTGTATGAATATTTATTAATGAATGCTGCTGCCAGCACCCTGCTCTCCATCTCTGGTGACCTACATGATCTCTATCACAGCTCCTCAGTTTGGTCTTCTCAGAACAAGCCCATGCACCTTTCCTGTCTGACAATGAAGAGCCAGAGCACAAGCTCAAGCCTAAAGAAAGGAATACCTGAAGGGTTACAGAATTTAAATAGGAAACATCTTTTTTTTTTTTTTTTTTTTTTTTGCATAAAGAACTGCTACAGCTGAAAAGAGAAAGTTCATCTGATAAACAGAAATTCAAAATGTCACCAGTGTAATTAGTTTCTGAGAAAAATATTTACACTGCAGCTGAATCAAGCTACTCGCAGCTGAACCACAGCAAAACTGCAACAAGGGAGAATGTTTTGTGTCTGCTCTTTAATGATTGTATCCTAATTATGGCAAAATTTCACCCCTTCCCAACGCTGGCTGGGAGAATCATTGTAAAATGCAGGGTCCTGCGAATTAGCAAGAAAGAGAACAATAAATTCCCCCCAAGGATAATGCATCACAAAACATGCTGCATTCATTTATTTGGCAAAGTGTAGTTTAATTACTTGTTAAAATAATGACTCCTTTGTAGGGGCCCTCAGTAACATGCGTTGCTGCTCTGTATTTTGCTGAGTGGGACGAGCTGTGTGCCAAATTTGCGTGCATGGATTATACAGCGTGCACATAAGCAGAGGGCAGAAAGGAGGTTGTACAGTGTCTTTTGTGTTTTGACAGCACATAAATGACACTCTCTTCACGGAATTTGTCTGCTTTTCTGTATTTTGAAACTCTGTATTTCTCCTCTCAATAGGGATTTTCAAGCCTCGATCCCATCTTACTGCAGAAAACGCTCAGCGCAGTAAAAATCTCTGCTGGGGAATCAGGATGTGCCCATTTTGCAGCCCAGTGTCACACAGTGCTCCCACTGCTCCAGTCAGCCCCAAGGTCATACCAGGGTGCTCCACCACCATCTCACCCATTGAGAAAGGGGACTATGATTTCCAGCATCCACAGATTTCTGTTTGTAGGGCATCATGGGAATAGGAGGGGTTTTTTACTGTCACGGGACTTGCAGCATGGCTGTCAGATGTTTATACATTATACTTCCACCCAGCAGTCCAAGAGGCAAACACATCATAATTAACAGTTTAAGGATATACTAAGAAGAAGAGGAGCTGGGATCTTGATGGTAACATTACTGAAGTTGTTTGTGTCTTATTTTCAAAGACATACTGTAAAGGTCATCAGAGAAATCGCATGAATTGCACCAGCAGTATCCGTCGTTAAAGGCAATGGCACAGGGCAATGCCATGGAATCCCAGAACTCTTCTTTTTTCATTCTACTGAGTAAGAACTGCCATTCCAGTACTGGAGCCAGTTGTGAAATACTCCACCAAATACATGAATAGCTGTTGTAATAGTTTTTTTTTACTTCCCAGTTCTATTTAAATCACCAGCTCTACTCACATTCAGATTGCAGTATTTGCTTTGAGCTCTATAATCAATTTTGTCCAACTTAACCTTCTTCACAGTATGTAAAACCTGTTAACATGGCTAGTCTCACCTTGGAGAACTTTGCTGCAGTTATAGGATGAATTTGCGTGTTCCATTTTTACAAGATAGCCTGTGAGAGAGTTGTGTTTTCACAGTATGACTATTGAACTCGATGGAGAAAAAAGTAACACTGTCATCATCCATGTATTAGTACCAGCAAGGGTGGTAGAAGGTTAGGGTATAGGTCCTACCCCATCCTGCACCTTCTCCTTCACCCCCATATGGCTGGTTGTATTTAAAGATGAAACTTCAGTGCATTCACTCCAACAACACAGATCATATTTTCTGCCCTCTAACACTCCACCCAACAAACACACAAAGCAGAATAATGTACAGCTGGCAATGGAGAAACTGTGCGTGATAATGTGGACAACACAGGACACTCCTAAACATGACATTGAGTCACTCAACATAAACCCCAAGTATCTGAAAATTCGATTCAGAAAAACAAAGTTAATAACAAAGCTTAAGAGAACCAGGCATCAGAATAACACACACAGAGACCAAATCTTTTCTCCTATACAAATATCCCCCTCGGGACTTCTTTAAGCTCTTTGCCTTTATTAGCCTCAGCTATTAAAGCTACATCTCCAAACATTTCCTATTCAAAAGTAACTTGCAATCTTCCAAAGGATTCCTTGTAAAACAGTGCAATAAATGCTCATGCCACTAGTTACTTGCTGTGTATTGTGAGACCTGGCTGCTTCTCAGGACCACTCACAAGAGAACTGTTTTCTGTTAAATATTTGTATTAATTCTTACCTATTTTTTTTTTTACCTATACCGGTATATATCTATTTTCTACATGAAGGTGCCTTATTTCAATACAATGATCATTATTTCATTTAACTAAAAAACTCCGTATCTAAAAAGTAAGAACACAACAGTCAACCACCACAACACCTGCTATACCCCCTTCTTTTGGGCAGCTGTGCTTGCTCAAAGAAAAGCTTTTTCATTTGTGTTTGCATAAGGTTTGTCTTAATTAGTCAATATTACAATGACTCACTTTGGGTCTTACGAGACAGCTGAAAGCAGAACACTGTGCAACACAAAAGGAGAACATAACAATATTATTGCATTTCCCCTAAACCCTCAGGACCTGCCCCCATTGCTGCTAGCAAGAGAGGTAAAAGCAAAATTATATAAAAATTGCCTTCCAGGGTGGTGTATAGCCCTTAGACACTGTTCAGGGATAACGTACAGCAAAGCCAAGTGTGGCAGAGAACGGAAAACCAGCAGAGGAACCAGCAAATCATCCTTACTCTGTCAAAAGCTGGTGCAGCTTCTGGTAGCCCCTCTCCAAGGCCAAGCTCACGGGCGTTGCCCCTTCGTTGTTGTGGATGCTCAGAGCTCCTCTTCCACCCGGCTGCTGGAGCAGAAACCACGTCAGCCGCAGCAGACCCAGCCTCACCGCAAAATGCATCAGTGTCTCCCGAGGGATGTTCTCTGGGAAGGGGGGAAAAAAAAAGAAAAAGGAAAGAAAGAAATGGGAATTTGTAGGCTGTGGGTTAGGGGAATGTTGTATCCCCACCTCCCAGCCCTACCACACACAGCGGCTGGCATGGAGCTGACAGCCCAAAAGCCAAGGAACCTGCAGCACCTGGAAAAACACTCTGGCTGCCAACATCAAGGAGACACCGGTATTTTAAAGCAAGGGACAGGCTACAGTGGGACTGGAAGTGCTCAGGACCTCTCACGGTGAGAGTGATCACAGTCACAGAAGTCAATGCGAAAAACCCACCACTTCCTAAACATCCACAGCCACCACCAAGATGCAGCACTTCCAAACAGGAGCATGGTCAGATGGGCTTTCCTAGACGTCCAAGCCTTCTCCTCACACACCCAGGACCAGGCTTTAGGGACAGACATGTTTTGCTATCTAACAGCACGCTGATTTGCCCCAAGGCATGGGGAAAAAAAAAATCAACTACATTTGAAGCATAAATCCAAAGCAGTTATAAAAAGAGAATAGTTTAAAAACTCATATAGACACACACACAAAAAAAAAAAAAAGCAAGGGTTTTCTTTTGCCTCAGACCAACTTTTCTCAGCTTTATACAGTAGCTCTGTCGTTCTGAGTAGAAGCATTTATAAATTCCCAATCTCTGCTGCTGCTTTTTGTGTTTAATAACCATGACCACCTAATTTAGTAAAAGTCACTCTTGAGCCTGAGCTTTCATCTCAGAAAAATATCCCCCTACTCCAAAAGCTGGAGCCCTAGAACGATGCTCTGAAAAGCTTTAACCAGAAATGAGCTCCAGATGCACTGCTGAAATCCAGCATTTGCAGATCAAAGCCTGTTATTTCTGTATGAAGGGTAAAAGCAATTGGGTTAAAAAAACTGGGAGAAATAAAAATTTGTTCTTTTAATTAACAAAGGATTTCATTATTGACTGACAGCAACAACAACAAAAAAGCACCAACTGGGTCTCAGAAAGCCATGCCAATGAGCACACTTGGTATAAACCCTTTAATATCACAGCAATGATTTATTGGGTTATTAATTTGGGTGCCAGCCAAACCTATATATCAAGTTTTAAAATGTATGTACAAAATGGCTTTAGGATTTAATTTTGTATTTTTTCCTTAAGAACTGTGCCCCCAAGAGAAATCACTTCTTCAAAGTGCTTTTGTTTTTCCTGCTTACTTACTTTCTTTAGGGACATCATTAAGACCTTCAGTGAAAAACAAAACAAACCAAAAAGGGGCAGTTCTTCCCCGTCTAGCACACAATTTTTCCCAACTTTTTGGATCAATTCCTGAAGAACTAATCTGTATGCAAGAACCAAAGGCTTTCTGGCACTGTTTCTCTTCCGAATGACTCCAAATTAGGTCTCTGGGCTACAAACCAATCCTTCCCCCCAACCTCCTCTTGATTACCGTAAAGCAAAAAAACTATGCTGCCTTGAACACATGAGAGTGTCTGAATGGGAGTTCCAGCTGATGGAATAAAAAGAGAATAGCTGAGCTCTCTCAGAGACAAATTCTCAGCCTTTGGGTTATAAGTAATGAGAAGGATTTTGGTATCAAATGTTACAGAGCGTAATGATTTCAAAATAATACAACAAGAAATTTAATCAATATTTCCAGCCTTGGATTTAAAGAAAAAAGAAAAATAAGACACCAGATAAGCATAAGGGAAAGGTTACTGATGAGGCTGCAACATGAATAAGGTAGATACAGGTAGGACTTACCCAGAGTGAAAGTAAATGCTCAAAGTTTCACTTAATGAACTTGTACATGTTCAGAGCTCCCACATTACCTGTACACTAGCAAAGTCACCATAATTAACGTGGTACAATTCTTCCTACAGAGATGCAGGAGGCACAAAAGCACTTCTGTTAGAGCACATGACATGCCATTAAAATAAAGCACGTACTGCACTGGTCTGATCACACCTGTTCTAGCACAGGATGTCTTGTTCTAGGTTTTTTAAAAGGAAAAACATTTTCTTAATTAATACAGTCAGTCTTGCACCAAATCTGAGCAGCTTAGAGCTACAAAGCATAAGCGCAGGCCCCTGAACCAAAATGCTTTTTCCTCCTGCGGCTGAGAGTCCTACCAATACGTAGAAGCATCTTCTACTCACCAGCTCATGGCTCACCCCTAAACATACACATCAACTGAAAATTCTGCAAGATTCAAATAATCATCCTGTCCCTGAGCCAAATGGGTACCCCTCTCTGTCTCACATGTCCACACATGAAATGCCCCCTCCTGCTTGTCCCAGTCTGTTCATGCGACTTCCCCTTCGTGTTTTCCTTATTCTTTCCAAACAATCTTCTTTATCACCACATTAGTGGGGCACAGTAGTTCCAGAGTTGGGATGGAGATGTCTGCAAACGCAACTGCACTGAATGTGGCCCTGCCCCAATGCCTTGGAGCGAGGACAACGTCCACAGAAGATCTGTACAAGGAGACATGGCGTGTTGCCATCGGAGCATATTAAACATACAAGCTCACTATCCAGGCCATTTGGAAGACTCTGCCTAACATATAAACTGGCACGAGGCCACCCTAACAGATGGGCACGGACGATGGCAGCAAAGAGACAAAGTACTGTACATCCAACAACTGCAGGGGCCCCAGGCAGTGGTTTTAGAAGGTTCTGGGGTGCGCAAAACTTGTGTGGCTGCAGTTAAAAAAGGCGTGTGCCATCTGTGGGCTGGATTAACTACTAATATGTAATGAAAAATACATCAGCTGGTGTAGGGTGTTGCTTAAAGCTAGACAAGAGCTGGTCTGCATCAGGTATGGGTGTTTTGCTGGATGGAGAGGGGAGGAAGACAGACAGATCCCTTCAGACTTCCTACATTTGAAGGGATGAAGCTTGTAATGTAAAATGTTGAAAATTCAGTCAATGATTTTAAGATCTTGCCATGGCGCAAAATGCCATGTCCCAGGAATGGAAGAATATCAAAAACTTTAAAATGCAATAGCCAGAGCTCCTTCTACCCTGTACCAAGCACGAGCTCCTCATCTTAAAATGGCTGTCGTTTGAATGTAAACAAAAAGCTTCTTGTAGTTAGGAAATTGTGGAAATAAAAGACTCACGATACTGAAAAGGCCAAGGCTGTTTTGTTCCCTTCTTGTTTCCTAGTAATAGGCAAGAGTTGAAACATATGATTATTGCCCCATAATGGCAGGGCACTCTAATCCAGCTGGCAAAACATAAGACTTTAGATATATTATTTTTCAGTAATTCTTTTCTGCTGTGATACATGAACAGAAAGTTTATCTGTGCAACTGAGGACAAAATTTCCATAGAAGACTGTCAAATGTACTTTGTTAATAGTAAAGGATTAAGGTTTAAGGTGCTCCTAGGACAAAACAAGTAAGCACTGGAGATAAAAAAAAGTTTGAGTATGACACACACAAGAACACTAAGTAAAAACTTTCATTTTAATCCTGATCAAATAACAGAGAAAAACTACTGTTCCTTTTTTTAAAATCACTTATATAGAGAGTAACCTATACCTAACTGTTCAGTTTATCCAACATGCCCTGAGACATATCACCATGGAACAGCCAGCCATGGAATGGGTAGCACTGCTTGCTATTATTCCTGTGCTGTTAACCTTCACTTGCTTCTCACCCCAAATCACGTATAGTTGGCAATTATGAAATCTGCCATCAAATCTGGCCTCAGAATCTTGCTTTTCTGCTGGAAATGTTCTCACTGCTCAGATCAATCCTTGAGAAACAAGGGTGAAAAAACCCCAGAAACAAGCTGCCACCTAACGCTGAGGTCCTACGGGAAGGCTCCAGCAAACAACTGCACTGAAGAAAGGTCAAGGCAAAGATGTTGTGTTTGCAGTTATGAGGTCAGTTAATAAAAGATGTGCGGGTAATTCTTTTCTTAATCTGATAAACAAGAAATTTTTCAAAGCGCACCAAAAGATCTTCATGTCCTCATTCCAACTAATATCAAAGGGAACAGAAACATTCTCATGCCAACAATTTCTCAGCCACAGACTAAACGGTACATCTCAGTCCTGAGCAGAATATTTCAGATGTTGTCTGAACAAGAATTACTTTCTGTTTCCCATTTTCCACTGCAGAGGGCACTAAATCTAGGCATGGAAGACTTTTTACATCTTATCAAGGGCTACAGCTGAACAGACCACTCTGTGCTGTTGGCACTGAACAGATCGTAGTGACTTATGCCACACAGTCCTTTACCAGAGAACACAGGAGATGAGCAGCAGACTGGAAAGGATAAGAAATCCAACAAAAAGAATACCTATAACTATTACACTGAAAGGGTTCAGTAAGAAACTGTAAAAAGAGTTCACAAAATGAGCAGATTAAAGCTATATGTCTAAAAAAACATCATCAGCTGCATATCTTTAACATCCTCCCACGGGAAAAGAGGCTAGTTCCTAATAATCAAATACTGAAAGTTTTTAAAATTTTTTTTTAGGCTTTTTGCTTTTTTTTTATTTAAAATAAGACACTTTATTTGGTTAGTTTCTGTCTTCAGACATTCTCCCTTTCTGCAAAAAAATGCCAAATCAACTGTCTCTATCCACAGTGACACTCATGTTGTCCTGTACACTGAAATCCTACTGGTTTTGTACATGATGTTATTAAACCCATAATCCATTCACACTATTTCATTTCCTTCTCTACCCACCTCCTACCTGGAGCTGCTCAGGGAGTTTAGTTTCCCAAGCAGTACTTACTGCACAAGGGTATTTATCCCACAGCATTTCTGGGAAGCTGTACATATTCAACACATCAGTAACTGCAATCTGTTAAGGCTCTATCTAATCAGATGGTCTCCTGGTTATCTGCCTGCAATCCTGGCTCACTATCTCCCAGCAGTCCTTACACTCCCAGGGGAATTGCTCCAGATCGTGGTGATCACAGCAACCCTCTGCCAAAGTTAAGCAGCTCCTGGAGCACCACCTCAGACAGCCCACACCACCAAAACTGTAACCATAGGTCTGGGTTTCATCACTCACTTTTAATAAGCAAAATGAAAAGGCTGTTTCCTCAAAGGTTTTATCAGAATACTTCTTCAAGATATTTTGAAAGTGATCTGTTTACTAGTGGTACAATTAAGCTCTCAAAGCTTTTCATACCTGGGCCTTACAGATCCTCCCTAATTTTTTTTTCTGCCTTTTTTTTCCCCATTGCGACATAAACAAGCCATAATCATTACTCATACCTCAGAACATTCAGTTGTGGTTTTTTAGTTAGCTTATTTTCTTTTCAGTAATTTAAAATAGAACATCGCAGTCCTGTATTTACATTGCATAAATCCTCAGAATACATATTAAATTTTGATTTCTAGGCATAAAGTGCAACAATCTGTTCCATTTAAATAGCTGCCTTTAAACGCCACTGAGAACAGCAAATAACCCTGCTTTTGACAGCAGTAACAACTATGTTCTTTGGAAAGTTACAGTGCACTTGTAATTATTAAGACAGACGTGATTATACGGCACCTGAAAGAAATGCTGTGTTTGGAATACCACGGTAACAAGAGTAATCCTTAGTTATGGATATTCTGAAACTGCAGATGCCATTTGAGTTCACAGAGATCCACAGATAACTGAGAGCTTCAAGGCCTGCTGTGCAGGGACACTGTATGGCTGGGGGAAGAGCACAGTCCTCGGGACAGGGCTGTTCCCGAACAGCAGTGATGAGGACTGGGCTGTGCAGGGAGGAAGGAGGTCAGGACACTCTTGCCCAAGGGGGTTCAGGCCCACTCTTTACCTGCAATGAAATTCCTGTCCCTACACACATGTGCACCTGACTGGCCCCTGCAACCCCAGGGACACAGGGATGGACCAGCTGAGCAGGACCACGGAACTGCTTCCCCTGCCTCCTCCAGCTCTGGCACGGGCCAGGCTTTCTGCTGCTGTCCAGGTCATCTAACCAAATGGTTGAGCATCCTCTGCCTGCCTCAGCAAGAGAGGTGGAGCTCAAGGACCTCCAATATCAGGAATCTTAGGTTTGCCCATTCCTAGTTCTGCTGGCTGTTTACCAACACAGCAGATTAGTTCATTGGCCTCAGGAGACAGAGCTGGGTGACACTTTTAGCAGCTTCTCTGCCCTCTGGGGTGTGTGCTGGCAATGAACTCCCTGCCCTCTGCTCAAAGACTAGTCAGGGCTGAGTGCAGGTGAAAGCAGGGAGAAGCCTTCACACAAAGCCATGCCCTCCTCAAATTCAGCCTGGATTTGTGCTCAGCGGTGGATCTTGTACCCAGCTTCTGCCCGCAGAAAGGCCACTGCTTCCCAACTCTTACAAAAGTTAGACTCCTACTTCAGGCCTTTGAAAAATCGACTTTTAAACAAGCTTGACAGCAACAGCCATCTCTGAACAGCAGTTCCCCATCAGGCTGAGGCACTCGGGGAGCTGGCTGAGGCTCCCGGCTCGCTCCTGCCTTCAGAGGTTTCGCTGAACAGCAGCGTTTTGTTTCCAGCCCACAAGAGCCCATAGAGACATGCCAGCTTAGAGGCAGCGCTAAACATCTCTCAAGGAGGGATCTGACATTTTCTTTTGTTCTCATTTCTATAGTATTTTCTCCTTTGAGAAGGTTATTTGAAGTTATCTGGTGCTGACATTTAGGGAAAATGTGAAACATGAATTGGAATAGCTGTTCATAGGTAGTGTTGCAGGGCAGGACAGCATGTCCCACTGCAGGGGCACTGGCCAAAATATGTCTAATTGTTCAAATGCTCCCACAGTTTCAATCTTTGCAGTGTTTTTCTCTCTCCCACACACAAATTAACACACAAGCACCAGTATAAGGGTGCTATGTTTTACCACAGAGATTTTTCTATCTAGAGCTCCATCATAAATCAGGGACATCTATCTCACTCTAGCAAAACAGTTTCGTGACCAAAAGGATGCTTACACATGCAAATCTTTCCTGTCACAATCACAAAAATTCCCCCAAATTCCCCATGTATAATTATCTCACTGCAAAAAATAACTCTAAAAAAAGGGAACATATTTTATAGCACTAATATTCTTGAATGAAAGTAGCATTTCATGCCATTACATTTATTCATTAATACTACTGTCTACAAAAACCTCACCACAATATGCCAAAACACTCAAGAGTTACAGAATTCAGCTCTACAGAGCTCCCCCTTCTCACTGAGAATGCCACAGTTGCTCCAGAGCTCCATTAGCATTCAGAGCCCCACACAACCACAACTTCCAGGCATACAAACACATGCTGAACAAATCAACGTAAATCTTATGGCCTGATTTCCCTAAATGCTCATTTTCCAAAGAATAATCAAAATCAAAAAGAGAAACCGGATCTTATCCTTCCTGCAAAATCAGCAACAATTCAGAGCTTCAGAGTTTTCATTAAGATCACTTTGACCATATTTTTATCACTTCAACCAGAGATGTCTGTGTTATCACAACTTTTTTTAATGCAGAAAGAAACACCAGTGACTTCCACATAGAGGAAAAAAATACCAAGTGTTTATCTCCTTATTAACATATGACAGCTGCTGAATTTCTACCCAGAAACCATTAAATATGATCAAATCTTTTAACGTCTGTTAACACGAGAATTGCCTGTCCATGTATTCAGGTTTACAAAAGCAGTCAGCAAGTTGGAGAAAAATAAAGCAGGAAAATCTCCTGTGGAAAACCCTGTTGCAGTGAGCAGAACTGAGCCTGCTTCACCAGGCAAACACCATTGAAGTGTTTATGCCGTTGCATCCTATAAAAGATAGCAGATGCCTCATAGTCACATTCCTGAAGTGAAACTATTTGCCAAAATACCCTGAAAATTTACAGCGAGGATTTGTAAACACTGGAACTAGCCCCTCAACCCTCCAATACGCTTCCTTTTACTCCCCTGTGACAAAATAAGAAGAACTCCAAGAACATGGACATCCCACAGCATCCGGAACACCTCAGCACTTCTGCTTCAGCAGTCACCAGAGACTTTGGGCCAGTCTTGAGGTTTATTTATAAGCTCTCAGTAACCCTTGCTGCTGTGGTGAAAGGTCAGACTTTCCCACCTTCCCCCTCCTATATTTGCAAGATTGTCCGGGTTTATTTTGGGGAACTTCTGTGCTAACCCAGCTGATGTACAACCAGGGATGCGATACAAACCCTCAGGGAAAGAGCCACGACTTCTCCAAGAAAAATAACATCTATTTTACACATAAAATCTTTGCACCATGTCTGTAAAACCAACATTTAGCAAAAGCACCAAATTTGTGGCACAAGGATATTTCCAGGAGCATTAAGATTTTCTACACATGGGTTTTTGTCGGGATATAGTGTGATGCTGATATACATACCATTGCTACACACACAAAAAAAAAAGAAAACCCTTTTGGGAATGTGTTAAAATATTGACCATTTACATCAGCTTGTGCTATTTCATAAGAGAAAACTCAGAGAAAATATCAGCCAGTGCCTTATGTACTTCATGCTGGCGGAAGGGCAAAGCATAGGATGAAGATGCAGCAGGTCCCTTCTCTAAGCACGGAGTCCACCACACCTTTTGAAAGGCATGTGGGGGGTTCCCAAGGCAGAGAGCCCCTTCTCCCAGGCTTTTTACCTCTCTGCCAACCCACAAGTCTCACTGCGCCCTAGAAATCCTCACCGGTCAGGGACTGGTCCGCTCCCAGCACGTTCCATTCCGCTGGAAGTTTCAGGTGTCGAAACGCCAAAGCCACTTTCTCGTCCAGGAAGTCCACGTCGGCAGCAGGGGGTCTTGACCGGTCCAAGAACCGCGTGAAATTCAGCGCCTGCTGGTTGCCAGCACAGGTGGCCAGAAACTGGGCAGCATCGTAGGCTTCATCCTGGACAAACTGGAAACTCTCTTCTGCCACAACCAGAACGGGGTGACCTTCTCTGGAGGCACAAAGTGCCACCTTCACTGTCTCACAACAGTCATGGCCTGCAAAATAAAACCCAGAGAAATTTAAAAAAAAAAAAAAAGAAAAACGGCATGTGCTGAAGAAGCAGAACTGGCCAACTCCTGTGACACACATAGTCTGCATTAAATCGAGTCAGACCAAGGGTCACAACTCTAAAAATAATACTATCTCAGGAATTTATATGCATCATCAAAGATAAGTATTTCCCATAGACTTTAAAAGGAAAAGATGTGTAACTCTTCTGTCCCAATATAAACCAAGAACTATTAGCCACCTTTATCTGACCAGGCTATTTATGATCCATGACAAGTAAACTCAAGAGTGTTGAGTAATTCCAGTGAAGATTTTGCTAACATACCAAAAGTCAGATTATATGGTCAAATTTTTGCTTCCCAGCTCCACAGGTCTCTGGTGACTCGTCAGAAACTAGAATCAAAGTGCTGCAAAACTACATACTCCAAATGCTGTCACAACACTTGGCTTGTACTGAAAACATTGGAATTTCACCTAAAACAACGACCTAAATGGCTACCAGAGCAAAACCTGCCTGGGCTTGCCCAGTGCTCACTCACTGCTGCACCTGCCCCTTTTGTTTGGGTTCACAAGACAAAACTAAAACTAAGCTGCTTCTGCTAAATAAAAACATGGAAATGGACACTTTCCACATTTACAAAACAAAAAAGTTGGAAGTTGGATAACTTTATTTATTTAGGGCAGGGGGAACAGGAGAAAGGAGGTCCTGGCATGGCAGCAATTTCATTGACTCAGAAACTCAAAAAAAATCCCACCCCAAATCCAAAACCCACAACACCTTTTTGCAATTTTAAAGGGAAAAATATACTATGTGTCCAACACAGCCAGCACTTGTAGTTGTCAGACATGGCCCTTCAATAATAAGGTTTGTGTTTCAAGTTCACTATGTGGCACAGTTTCTTGTTCCAGCCTCAGACTGACGTCATGGCTGTTTTTGCCAGAACAGCATGGACCCTGCACTAATTACTGGAAAAGCTTCTTTTTGCCCATGACCTCAGCATACTACCACATTCATGAAACCCTGCTTAATTAAATACAAAATGACGATTTATTTTTAAAGGCTTGAAAATTCAATTTAAGCCCCTATTTGTGGTCAGTGGGAAAGTTTCCTTCGTCTGTCAGGGCCCTTTGCTGTTGATTTCCCTGACAAAAGGGAAAATATGTCCCTAATCTTCATGGTCTTTCAGCCAAACTCGCAAATCTGTTCTGAGGCTTTTGGCATCTGTACAGGTTTTGTGTGCTGAAAGAGGCGATCCTGAAGTTAATTGAAAGGTCAAAACTGCTATTAGGACACTGTGGGGAGCACCAAAATTATCAGAGATGAGGCTGCATGGCTGCCTAAGGAGAGCAAATGCGGCTGGAAAGGTATCAAAGGCAAGTGCAGACGGGGAGGAAAACACACATGGATGTTGCTGCAACAGCTCAGCACCTGAACCAGGAGGCTCTGAAGCTGAAAGGTGAGAAAATTTCTTTCCTCCCAGCACCAGGCATCTATTAGCAAGAGGATGATGTGAAAACTGAAGGCATAGGTTTACTACTATGGATGTTTTATGAAAGAGAATAAGGGTAGGGAAGACCTGCTTCTACTGCTCTTGGAAATATTGCACAGGCATCCTAATACATCACTGTTCAATGGGTGGGCAGGGAACTCAGCAGCTCAGGTGAAACCCATTCACAAACCCTGCTCATGCCCACAGTAGAAGCCTCAAATGTTCAAGGGAGAAGTGGGGGACAGTACAACTTTGGGGAAACTTGCCTTTAATGCCACTGAGAAGTGTACATCCCTCCCCCTACACCTTCTTGCTTTCCTGATATTCCTAAGGACATCCAAATATGGAACAGGTAAGACATCAGTTTTATCCACAGCCTCCACAAAGCAGTGAGCTCTGAGAAGGCCATGCCAGCCTATGGAACTGACTCAAGTGCTGAGAGCTGGGCTCTCCCTAAGGCAGAGCAGTGGAAGTTTGCTAGAATGAGGAGTTAAAAAAAAAACAAACCACCATAATAAAAGATTCCTTAACAGCATGAGAACAGCTAACCCTTTGATTTTTTTTTTTAAACTTTTTTTATAACTGTTTTCTGTCTATTCCCATAAGAATCCCATCTGCAAAATAACCTACAATACTGTTACTCTGCCAGAAAGTCAGCGGACTTTCAGGATTGAAGAGACAGGCAAAAATGGCCCGTGAGCTGCTACAGAGAAACAATTTGGGACAGTCACTTCTTTGCCACAAAGCCAAATGACTCTCCTGTGGGACAGCAAAAGCTCCTCCATTGAGAAAACAACTAGAGAAATTACATGGATGCATAAAGTTCCCTTGGATAGAGAGGTTAAACACCAGATGCAAAATGCAACACAAGGGAAGGTGACAAAAAGACCATGTCCTGACCTGTAGCCAAAAAGGATTCTCTTGAAACTTCCCCAGACACCAAATGCAGCCTAGAAAAGGAGGTGACAGACCTGAGGATCCATTTTCATCCAACAGGATCAAACAAGCATCGTGCTAAACCCTGGGGAATGTTCTTCGAAAGGGCAGCCACTCACAAGGCTTTGATGTTCTGCTTCCTCACATCTGAGAAGATGTCAGACTCAGGGGTAAGAATCTGGGACAGGTTCTGACTTCTGGCAAACAGTTCAAAAAAGAGGAACCAGTATGTAAAAGGGGCAGCCAATACTAGAAAGATTGCTCAAGAGGTCTCTGCCCCCCCTGCTTTGAAACTGCTACAGGAACAATGTGAGGAAATATGTCCCCAGTACATGAACTTTCTGAAAGAACCATTGGTGGGGCAAGTCTTCTCTCCACATCAAACACCCAATGGCCAGACAAATACCTGAATTTCAATAGCCCTTTTCCCAAGCATTAGCAAAAGTGAGGAAAGCTTTGTGACGCTCTCAGGAGATAAGTGGTTATCATCTGTAAAAACAGCTAAAATCTGTTTTTACAAGGTTAAGTAACTTGTCCAAGATCACTAAGAACTCCAGGCAGTACCACAGCAGACACTATTGCTCTTGTTCATCACCTTTCAGCTCTGGCTGGCAATCAGCAGGGCTTTCTCCTAACATGGGCCAAGCACCAAGTTATGCACTTTACAAGCATCATGGTGGTTGGTTGATTGTAACAACCTCATTCACATCATCAGATGTGGAACAGAAAAATGTCTGACTAATTAAAAAGGTGAAAAAAAACCCCAGGTGTGTCAGTGAGCTGGTTTTGGCTGGAATAGCGCTAATTTTCTTTGTAGTAGCCAGCGTGGGGCTGTGTTTTGGATTTGTGCTCGAAACAATTCAGAGTTCAGGGATGTTTTCATTCTTGCTGAGCAGAACTTACATAGAATCAAGGCCTTTTTGCTCCTGCCCCCACCCTGCCAGAGAGGAGGATGGGGGTACAAGGAGTTGGAAGGAGACACGGTCAGGACAGCTGAGCTCAGCTGACCTCAGGAATATCCCAGACCAGATGAGCTTCATGGTCAGTGTATAGAGCTGGAGGAAGGAGAAGGAAAGGGGGACAACTGGAGTGATGGTGTTTGCCTTCCCAAGTCACCATTACAGGTGATGGAGCCCTGCCTGCCCATGGGAAGCGGTGACTGAATTCCTCATTTTGCTTTGCTTGCACATGGCTTTTGATTTACCCATTAACCTGCCTTTATCTCAATCCACGAGATTTCTCACTTTTACTCTTTAAACTCTCTTCCCCATCCTACTAGGGGGGAGCTTAGTTGCTGGTTGGGGTTAAACCATGACACTCAGGAAGATAGATGAGCTTATTTAAAAAGGTTGGCATTTTGGTAGGCCGAAAACACATTAACTGAATAACTCACACAGGTGAGTGCACCCCAGAGAAGGCATGAGAAATCTCAGTGCTTTATTAGGCAAGCAGGTTCACAATGTCACCCAGTACCCCTCCTGACTGCCTTCAGTATTCTCCAGAAATCAGGCCCTTTGGCCAAAATAGCAATCACAAGCAAATGATGAAATCGTGAACATCGTCACGCTGGGGCCACCCAGCAGTAACTGAGTTCGAATTTTAACTCTTCAGACAAACAACAGTGTTTCTCCCTAGCTGACACCTCGGACTGCACAGAATAACTTCATGTGTATAACAAAAAGCGTTTTTCACACTTTTTTTTTGCTACAGTATGAGATGTGGTCATTTATACACTGGTTTGACTGATAAAATTTAAATAACCCATGCCCGAACTCTTGCAGGATTGCATTTTATCCAATTTCTCTTCCTGCTCCTCCGTTACTTTAAATCTAGCCTGGAAACAATTCACAACTTGGAGCTGATCTGAGAAGTGCCAACATATTGCAGGAAAAATACAAAAATTTAAAAACCATTTCAGTCTATGCAGAGACGGGTGCAGCAACTAATTCTGTTGCAATAAAGCGAATTCCTTACCTTCATGTAAAACCACACTTTAAAAATTATTTCAAAGGAGACAATAACTCTTGAACTAAATAATTTCATACTGGGAATGAATGGGAACACTTAATGAAGCATGCTTTGGGGAAAATACAAGAATGAAAAATGAAGGCATGGTGTTCTGGTCTGTCTGTACTTAGCCCTGAAGAGATGAGATGCATCTGCGTGATAACACAACCTCCTCTACATGATAACAATGCACAACAATGAGCAGGAGAAAAGGTGGAGATCTCTGAGCTGTAACTCATTAGCAGACAAGTTAATGTACAGCTTAGACCTGTCCATCTAATCAGTACCTGTGCCAGTGATGTGGGGTGTGGTTAAAAGGGCAGGACTCTTCTGACTTTTTCTTATTAAACAAGGCCCACATGGAGACAAAACACCCCTAGTCAGAACTATACTAAAAGATGATTTCATTTCCTACTCCTCCAATAGTGGAAATCCTGTCCAAACCTCCTATTTTCAGAATTCACATTGGAGTTATTAAACAATAGGCCCCCAGCCTGGGCAGCTATTTAAAGCCCTGCTGGAAGCACATGTTTGGGTTTGCCTGGTAGGTGACT